ATTGTTACACAATTGGTGTAACATGATTGGTCAGGAGGCTATCCAAAAACCAGCAACCTGAGACATCCTGCCAGCCTATATCTGCCATTCGGCAACACCAGGTAGATCCTCTGGAATGCAAACAGAGCCAGGGGGTAGAGAGAAGGAAGTAAAAGCCTAACTGCACAATCTTACCACCAGTGAAACATTTATGAATTTTGGGCACTTAACTTAAATGTTTTTTTATACATGCTTTCTCTTAATTCTGTGTCTGTTTTATCAGTACCTGTCTATCAATATTACTGATTATGACAACCCCGCCCCAGGGTGGGTCACAAAACTGTTAGAAAATTAGATACACTTATCTGTGAAAACCAAAACCATGAACATTTTACAGATGCTGTGCCTATGGCAGAGCAGCTATTGATAAAAGTCCTCATCTCTGATCTAACCAGTTGCATTAAAGTATTTGTTCACAGGAGAAAAACCTACATCAGACAACCCAAGAAAAGCCTTTTTCTGCTGCTGCATAAAAGAAGTATTAGATTTTTTCACACCACAAATCTCCTGAGATTTACAAATTTCAAACTTTCAAATCCTCAGTCACAACTTCCTTTGAAAAGAAATGTCTTTTATCATTTTCAACTAGATTAGCTTTTTGTTTTTTTTTACGGAGCACTAGGAGTAAATACAAAATTAGGGTTATTTATTGGTTTGCAATGCATCTTGTACACAGAGGAAAAAAATACACCTATCACCTTTCTCTCTGCCTGTCCCACAGGCCTGCTATAAATCTATATTTAAAATGTATTTAGGAAAATCTCAAAAAGATTTGTAATTGTTCCTGCCAATATATTCAGTCTTATCATTCAGATAAGAATGATTTCACAGCTCTTTGTAACTATTTTCAGTGAAGCAGAACAAAGATTGGGTGAAATGGAGTGAATCATATGATGGTTAAGCTTTCCTGTCTCCAAGATTAGAGAGCAGATTACACTGTTTTGCACTTAGTTTTGCACTTAGGAGGTCATTATGAGCCCTATTCACTAATTTGACAAGAGGTCCTCCAGGACTTTTATAGTTACAGATCGTTGATAGGGACTTTGCTTTTGAGGAATATTGCATTTTCAGGATTCTAGCAGCCTGAGGTGCAGAAGGGGCCTTAGAATAAGAGGACTGAATTCAAATGCTACAACTATGCTCTCATACTGTCTTATTTGAAAAATACAAAAAGAGATCATGGGTGTAGTAAACATTATTAATCAGGAATGAGACCAAAAAACAGCTGTTTAATATGTACCACTAAAATTCCCAAGCTATTGGTGTTAATTAGGCTTGATGTCTGGTATGTAAAAGGTGTGCATGAGGCTAGTGGCCCAGCCAGAGTGTCACCTTCACATTTCATGTCTTAAGCTGTCTGTCACTCAGTCTCAGGAGTGGAGGTCCTCGTGAGTCTTAGCCATTTTGTCAGTCCACTCTTAGGGAAGTCTGCACACTCTTCCTTTTAAGGTCTTCTATCAGGGTTTCCCTCTATAATCACTACTTACTCATCATACAGGTTCAGGTGGTCAGACCTGTTCCTTGTCAGTACACTTCATCCCTGCGAGTCTGGAAAAAGAGCATCCAAGCCATCTTGCCTGCCCAGCACTTGTGATACACCCACAGCCAAAAGCTATGGTGACAACTCACTCTGGAGCTCTTGCTCTCCTTTCTCCCAAGCTGATGCCCAGTAGACACAGACTCCTTTCCACCTGGCTGCACTTAAACACCTTCCCATTAGTCTGGGGGAGTGGCCAGTTCCAGAGCCTATCCTATCTGCTTCTCCCCCGGGCGGCAATCCTCCCCTTACCCTGCTTCTGTCTCATGAACAGAAGGCTTTCTTCCAAAGCCATCTCTCAGTGCCTCACATGGTGCTTGGATGGTTTCTGGATGCTATTTGTTTGCAAAAACCAGAAAATGTATATAACAGCCCCTCCTTGAGTTTACACCTTGTAGGCTTCGTGAGCATTTGTGTGTGCAGACCCTTGAGACTCCTCTGGTTGGGGCTGGGGTCTGTTACACCTATTACACCACTTCTATGTGCAATAGCTGTAGTGCTTGGATGTGGAGCTGAGCTACATGACCCCCAGGACAAATATCAGAAGCAGGACAGTAGCTTCTCAGCATGGCTAACATCCTTCTGTCCACCATCAGAAAGCCCTACTCCTGGAAGTGGTCACGCCATCCCAGTACAGGACATCAGTCCTTCACAGGGGGGCGGCAGGGAAAACATCAATAATATCAAAGCCTGCCTTTCTCAGACCGGCAGGGCTCTGGGGCTCATGAATGGTCCTCATGACACAGCTCCAGGTAACTTATGGAACAAGGACAAGGACTGCATTTATTTTTTTCATACCAGCTGTTCCATACACTTGTCATGCGCTTTTGAAAGAATGTGTGTTCTGCAAACAGTAGCTTACAAAGTGCTGTCTCCTCAGCGCTTGGATCACCACACTCTACCGAATACTGAGGGTCCCTCTCTCCAACTGCTTTAGTCAGGGTGCAGATATATGTTGAAATATACAAGTTTCACTGCACTTGTAAAAATATTAACTTCCGACAGAAAAAAAAAGTGAAAATCATTTAATTACCAATAAGTGTATTTTGTTTTTAAAACTGCTTGAAGATGAGGGAAGCTGAACCTGTGTTGACTGCATACAATTTCAGTAACTAAAAGAGGATTTTAAGAGGACCAGCAGACACATCCTTAACTGTAAAAGAAAGAGGCAGGTGAAAAAAGCTGTAACGTAGTCCTTAGCCAGAACTAGTTTCATATGACCTTCATGTGTAAAAACTTGGATAAGAAAGGCAAGGCAGACCAGATACAATCAGGCTGCCAATTATTAATGACTTACATTAGTTCTTTTCACCCAGATGAATCCCAAAGCACTTGCAGATAGAAGGAACTCACTTCATCCATCTGTGATCTCTTGCACACCAGCAGTCGCACTCCACAACAGATCAGGTAGGGAAGTGAGAAATTGCCTCACCTGTTGGATTAAGAGGAACACTTAGGAAGGCCAGATTGTACAAGCCCAGTATGGACTCTAGCCTGAACATCACAGGGTTAACGCCCCTGTTCTTTCATGAAGTGTCCTGGGATCCTCAAGGACCTGTTCAGGAGTCAGGATCTGATGCACCTCTCTTCCTACAGAAGGCTCCTCCTATACTAGAGTCTCTGGTCACCACACTGGGACACCACTTCGGAGGGAAGAGCTCCACATACTGGTCCAACGCCAACACTTACAGCAACGAGCTGGTTTTCCTTGGAGGTACCGACCTGACCCAGCTTTGCTAGCTTGTGAGACCTCCTTTCACAGAGGGGGTCCTTCTCCATGGCCTCTTCCATTGGGCAGTAACGTCTTCTGCAGCATTGCCTTCTTTTGCTATGGTTTCTCATTTTCAGGACCTATTGACTCACTTCAATAAATTCAGACATTACCTGAGGGTTCGTGGCTGTTTCCTTTGATATCCTCTGCCTCCAAATTCCTTCCCACAGATCACAAAGAAAAGAGCTTTCTTTTATTGGGAGATATAACAGGGAGCAGCAGAAGACTGTGTCCTGTTGATCGCTTTAAAGTACTTACATTTGTTCTCCAGTTTTACACACATTTATCCCACTACTGAATGGATTTTGTACAGTGGATTCCTTGAATCCAACTGCTGTTTTCAAAATGTGTCCCTACAACACATGCATTAAATTTTGGGTTTACTTTGGCAAGGTTCTAGTCCAGGCCGCTGTGCTCCATTCTTAGAAAGCTAAAAAACTCAAATTCTGCTATTGAGGAATGAATTGAAAAAACTGTATTTTTTTCCCCTCGATTAGTGAATATGTCTGTTAGAGCTTATTTGTTCTAAGTGCCCCCATTCTAGCTTAGACATCATTAAAGACCATGTGATTTCCTTTAAATCTTGGAATCATGTGCTCCAATTCATTATTTCTGGAGTAGATCAGACAAATGTCTTGTGTGTGCTAACAGGGGAACTTTTAGAGGAAAACGTGAAGAATCTCTTGGCTGATCACTATTTGCCAGAAGCAAGGACTCACAAAGGGTGTCCCTTCATCTGGATGTAAAAAAAAACAAAAAACATGTTTACTTTAGAATCACAGCATTTAGGACTCCTTGTCCCTATTCAGACCACACTTGCCTGGGCTGCCCTTGTGCCAGAGTCGCAAAATATTTATCCGAGAACTTTCACCTTCACAAAAATTAAGAAATGTTTCACAATGTTCCTGTACAGATTTCATAACCTGCTTTAGATACCAGAGTGAATTCACCTGCTGATACACAAAAATACCATGTCCACCAGCGTGGACAGGCCAGTGCTTCATTGTCTCATTCCTGAGCCTTGAAATTGACAGGCTGGAAAAAATAGCCACCTGCTGGCTAACCAACACCATTTCCAGCAGTTTTTCTTTAATGTCTCCCACTTATATACAAACTGGGCACAGACATGCTTATTCTTACAGACCAGCAGAAAAATGGAGCTTGGCAGCTAACAAAGTGACTATACTGTACAAATCCACATCAGAAAACACACATTTCCTCTGAACTGCTTTGGACCATCTCTCTTCAGTGCTCTGTTCACTGAATTAACAGCAAGTATCAAAGTATCAAAGGAAAAATTATGAGCATGTGAATTTAAAATCACAGCTTCATAAAAAGTTCAACACACAATTTGAAATAGTGTGATCTTTCACATGACCAACTGAAGAAGAAACTTATTCTGATGAGTTTCTTTTACTTTCAGAACGCTTTTCCAATCTGTCATAGTTGAAACTAATCTCTTATGTTCTTTACATAGCCAAAGGGTAGGCATGAAATCTTAAAACTAAGGTTTTCATTATGAACACATCACGTCTTCACAATTGAAAGTAGTAAAGGAAGGTGTGACTATAGCACAAGCCATATTTCTTCACTCTGTTGGTATTTTCAACAAGATTATGTATTTAAACATAAATCCATACATCACAACTCCAATAAAGCTTAATTTCTTTATTCAAAATTAAATTTAGATAATGGTTCTGATCCCTTCTCGGTATGTTTATTAATTGATGTAAAGGCAAATGAAGCCAATGCAATCCTGGTGTTCTGTGAAATGAGTATAACCTTGTCAAACAGCATATTTTTCAGCCATGGTATAACATTAACAAAGCTGTGAGTTCATAATTCAAATTTAACAAACCATCTGCTCGCTGTGTTCCAGTAATTAACTTTAGAATTGAGCTATGTATTACTAAAAGCAGGACGAGGGTTTCATTAATTAAAGCTCTTCATGCACAACAATAACAGTGCCTTGGTAAATCAGGAACTTTTAATTTTAACTCTATCCCTTTACAATTATATTAATAAGCTCTATAGAGCTTTTAAAAGCAATTATCCCAAGCGTGAAACACAGCAAACAGCAGACCTTCCTAGTTAATATTGTGGATTTCTGTTTTGTTTAATCATTTTCATAGGTGGTAGACTTCAGCTGTTCATTTTTAAAAATATATCAGGCACACCCTTTATTTGTTAAAACATTTTAGTTTACAAAATTATCTTATAAAAGAAGGCCGTTACTGCTGTACACATTTCATAAACCACCACTCTCGTCAGAAGCCCATGGACCGCTCTCCACTTACACATACTTACTCCCAATAAATATGGGAGCTACTTATTGCCTTTCCCATACGGCCACAACAATGCATTTTGAAGAAAAAAAACTCCAGGTTTGCTACAGACAGATCACACGGTTTTAATTAAGGAATAGTGCAGAGAGATATGATCAAACTGAAAAGACAGTTTTTGAATGCGATGTTGTTGCCACTGTTGTCCAAAATCATCACCCTGCTTTCTGCTGCTCAGCAATCCTCTTCTCTCTCGCTCTTCCTCCCCTCCAGGCGAAGCCCAAAGTCTCACTCCCACTCCTCCTCATCCCGATCAGGGTGGTCCTCCCTGGGAGGCTCCTGAAACTGGATATTGGCCAGCATGTCCCTCATGGCCACCATCAGCCGGTTCACTTCCTGGTTCAGTTCTCGCCCAGCGCGGGCCACTTCCAGGTCATCCTCGGCTCTGGCAGCGCCCTACGACCAACAGCTTTTGTCAAGTCACAGAGGCCTGAGCACCAGCCGAGCTGCCCCGGCAATCGAACACAGCTTTCTCTGTGGTGGAGAGAGCTGAGCTGGGCTGGTGCCCAGGCATTCTCCAACACTCATTTTGCAGTTTTCAAGCTTTTATACACAGGCTTCTCAACAAGAAATATAATCTTGTGCCTTAACGTTTCTGAATGTCTGGTACGATAAAGGTTTAAAAGGACCTCACTGTATTATTTTTCTCTATTTTTAAAAAAGAGGCACATTCACATCTCTTCTTCACTTTCAGGACTAACAAAACCAATTTCAATTCTGCCCAAGGTGCCAAACCAAAATAAAAGCCTAGTAGTCCCATATTGTTTATATTGATATTGTTAAGGTCAAACAGGTAGAAATTCTAAAACAATTAGTGTGCAACTGCTTTTTCAAATGATTTTATTTTTCACTTTTAGTGGAGGGTCCAGAAAAGCTCTATGTATGTATAAGGAAATGGTCATTATTACTTGAATTCTCTCCAAGTATTCTAAAATCAGTCCTTTGCATTTTGCAAAAGAACATTTTTATTTACTACAAGAACACCCTTCTTAAACATTACTCATATCAGAATCAATCACTGATGTAAAAGTAACACTTCATCCCTGAAAGCTATGGAAAATTCGAAATAATGATATTCTATGTCATTAAATGCATATTCTTTCTCTGCATTTCTACTGTGGATCAAAATGTGTTGTATAACACGAACACATTGTGTAATTTATCTGGGAAACATTCAAGTCCAAAACCGCAGACACTGAGATTGCTTTGTAACTGCAGTCACATTGCATACTGCTAATAAATGAATGCAATTTTGAGATAACAGTATTTTTCATTTAATTTTAAATAGAAGGCTCTCATCTGCTTATGGATCTCAAGGCGAACATCTCAGAGATAAGGAAAATGTTCCCCTTTGTTACCAACCTAGCCTGCACACAACAGTGTACCTGCAGTGGCAACAGAAGCATGTTCTTAGTTTAAAGCTGGACATTGAGCTATTCCCTCAGGTCTAACAAGATCCAGTAAGAGTTCAGGTGGGGAGCTGCGTCAGCATGTGTAGGCTGCAAAGGAACAAGCAATAGGTTTATTCCATGCTGAAAAAAAGAAGAAAGAGAACACGTTTCGGCCGAAACGTTGTGTTTTTTTTCTTCTTTTTTTCAGCATGGAATAAACCTATTGCTTGTTCCTACACAAAATCCAGCAAGTCTCACGTGAAAGTACTCTTCCAGTTAAATTCATAACAGTTAGATCAGTGCACAAGCTAACACAGAGAGGTTATTATTTGCTTTCTACCCATCCATTTTCTCAACTCTCTCCCAGTTCAGGACCACAGGGAAGACCGACACAAATATGCACACGCTCATCACTGTCTCTTTGGACTGTGGGGAGAAACCAGAGCACCTGGAGGGAACCCATAAACAGTAAATGTGGGGAGAACATACAAACTCCACACAAGTAGACCCCCAGGAACTGAACCACAGTGCTGCAAGGCGCAAACAACTGCCCCACATGCCATTCATGTGCTTTCTGAAAAGGGACAATTCCCACCAAACCACCTCCATGTGGGAATGCGGCTCTCAGCCCTTCACCAATTATCTCATTAACCAATTAATGCGCCACATGTGAACCTGTACATAATCAATAGAAGCCCTAACACCCTCTAGTGGCAGGTCAGATGTGAGCATGGTCCTCATTGCTGTTGGCGGCCTCACTTGAGTATTCAACTGTCACTGACCTGATGCCACAGCAAGGCTGAGCACAAGAGGAACACAGTCATCATGCTGTACCTTGTCCTCCACTAAAAACACATGAGTGCCTCTCATCAGCTGGGCTGCCCTCTGCCCCAGGCGCCTGTCAGGAATGGAAGCTCCACTCACCTGCAGGTTGAAGTTTGGCAAGAGAGAACGGAAAAACAGTGACAACGTGCTCTCGCTGGACGCTCCTCGATTGACTCTAGGGAGGACGAAGAGGAAAGGAACATCAGATTTCTTTTGAAAAAAACAGCATGCTTACATTACAAGGTTGCTACAGGATGGCACAGTAGTTTCATGGTTAGTGCTGCTGCCTCAAAGCCCTTGGGTTCTGGGATCGATTTTGAATTCTAGCTCCTTCTGTCCAGCATTTGCATGGTTACCCTGTGACTGTGTGGGTTTTCGGCATGCTCTCTAGTTAATTCCACATTCCTAGCACTTGCTGGCTGGGTTGACTTGACGTCTCTAAACCGTGTCTGTGCAGTTGTGTGCCCTGTGATACACTGGCATCCGCATCATACCTGTCATTGGTATAGGTTATTGTCCTGCCTATTGACCACGGATGATGATAAATTAAATAACGTCTGTGGCTCAGCTCTCTTCAGTAATTTACACACTCCACAAGAGGATAAGAAACACCAGTGAGGAGGTCAAATTTACATGATTTTCCTGTTCTTAAAGATTGCAGGCTCAGACAAATCTGGATCTAAGCTCAAGCGCAAGAAGTAAGTTTCTTCCCAACAACAAAACTTTTCTTGTAGTAACTGTCAGCTTTATAGTGCTTAGGGCATTACTTAGATATGAAGGAAGCTCAGATAAATTAAAAGAAGAAAAAACAGCCATATCACTGCTTGTCACAGCTGCTCTCAGCTGGGCAACAAATGGCCTTCTACATCAAAATCAGTTTGATTTTTAAATAGTTATCACAAGACCAAAGTAATAGCTTCAGCCAAGTGCCAGAAGCCCGATTAATACACAATACTTTTATTTTTTAAAGTAAATAGTAAAACGACTACAACCACATTGGTCAGGAAAGAGCTATCAGCTTGCTTCTGCAAAGAAAAGTACATTTAACATTATGACAAACAATGATCAGAGGATATAAACCTCGCAGGGGCAACTCTGACTAGTGACATCAGCTTTTCACACACTCACAGAGCAAACAGATTATGCAAACCTCAAACAGCAAAATAAACTTCCTGAAAAAAAGATGCCCTTTCCTTTCCTAGCAAAGCAAATGAGATAATTGATCATTTAATTCAATATACCTTGTAGGCAAAATAGGACCAAAATATATTTTTTTTTCCACTGACGACAGTGAGATGAAAGAGCCCCTAGTTTATACAGTACTTATGTAAGCAATCGTTACAAAATCCAATCAGATACACTGCGCCAGAGCTGACCTCACATCTGAGGAATCTGATGGATTCTTTAAACACTTCATCTTCATTCATAATTGTTTCTTAACGTTCAACACAATGACGCAGAGGCCTAAAAACACAACACATCTGCATGTGTCACATACGCACTGGACAATCCACAGTATGTGTTTGTGTGACTGCCATCCTATGTGAAAGTGAAATGTGACAATAAAGAAGTTTATATGAAATTGAAAGCTACAACAGCAGCAACAACTGTGTTCTGTGAAAGGGTATTCATTTTTAAAATGATTGTGAAGTACGAAAAAAATCAAATGTTTCAGAGAGTTTCGGTACAGTAAGACAGGATTATTTTTGTTCCTGTGTTTTTAACTGCTTCTTTTCAAATATAAAGTCTGATTTCTGGACACTACATTTGTTCCCCAACCTGGAACTGTAGTTCCACAGTCCAATACACCTAACACATATGAAAAAAATCTCGTACAGCATGTAAAACCTAACGCGATTTAAAGTTTGGCCCTTTGTTTGCAGGCTCAAACAGTGTGGAGATATTCCAGAGACCCCAAGCAGAATCCCTTTTTTTAGGTTTAGCAAGTAACTGATTAAGATACTGATAAGTTATAATGTCTGTATATGGAAGAATTCACATCTTGCAATTATTGCTAGTAGAATGTATTAGTAGATGACCTGGTGTAACAGTGATGAACAACTCCCATTATACTGCAGTTGCATTGCTGAAGCAGATGAGATTGACGATAGTCAGTATTGTATTTTGACATCAATTGAATAAGTGAAGAAATAAGGAAAATTAAGGTTCAGAAAAACCACATGAAAACCTATTAACAAAACCTTTTAAACCTCCATACCATTGCAATCAACAATGAGAGGAATAATTTGCAAAGCATGTTATAAAACGTGCTGGTAATCACTGCCAAGTGTAAAACTACAATATTGTGACCAAATACCTTTTCACTTCACTTTGACACTCCGAACTCTCAAGTACAAAACTCCTGCAGCTCTTACACAGTAATGCACTGTTTTTAATTCTCGATCTGGCAAACTGCTTGTTGTACATATTCACCATGAAATGAAACATTCTAACAGCATGTCTACATTATTGCTTTACTTTTTATATACTTAATATTGATGAAGGACCTCTCAAAGCTGACAAGATCCCCATTCCATCTCCTTCAGCCAAGATTTTACTGACCCATCTGTCTGCATCCATTTGCAGGGAATTCAGAACTTCTACTGTAGGAAGGTATCAGAAGCTCATGCTACCCTTTAACTTCAATCACACCTTTCCCCTCCTCTCAATGAATAAAAACTTCTTTTCAGACCTAGTCCATTCATTCACAGATTTTAGCTTTTCACATTTCCCCCGCAGATCACCCTTTGTTTGGAAAAACTCTCACCTGCTCTGGGATTTGAACTGGCAACCTTCCAGCCACAGGCGCAGATCCTGAGCCACAGAGCCACCACTCAACACTGAGTTTAATTTTTATGCTGTGTGGAGTTAACCCTTACGTGTTGAAGACAACAGACAACTCGCACAGACACAGATCCCTTCTTAGAAACACACAGCTTGATCCACATGTCGTATGCAGAGTTACAGGCTTGGAGCCTTAAAATCTTTACCTTTCGGGCCTGGAGTAAGAAGCCATTGAATCCAGTGGAGGTAAAGGGTCGAAGCCCATCACTGGCTGAGTGGTCACTTCCTAAAAGGCAGCAAATGGGCAAATAATCAGAACGCAAGAAGAAACACTGTTCCCATAAACATGGTCCAGTTTTGTTGGAAGACTGAGTGCACCTCCAAGAGTCTTCGACAAACTTCATTCAGCCCTTCCCACCCAAGTTGTTCATATACATAAAACACAAACAGGGCTTGAAACCAGACGAATCACCATTCTTTTTCAACTGAAACATCTCTCAAAATTGTTACTTCTGAAGGTTTCCTTTAAAATGCGGGACAGTGACATTAAACAGAAACGGCAGAAAAAAAAACAAATGACAAGACCTTCTGCTATTTCGACTAGTTTCATGCGTACAGTCCTTTTCTTTTGGGATTGTTGTGACCCCCTCCTTCCCCAACAAGAAAGGACCCCCAGAACGCCTATCGGGCGATTCTTTCGTGCTGTTGAAGAGCCCAGAGCGAGTGCCCAAACCCTCCCATCTCACCAGAGGCAGCGTGGCCACAGCCCCCTTGATCTCAGACAGGATGACGTGCCGGTGGATGTTTCGGGGGGCACTCTGGTACCTCAGCTTTCTCCTGCAAGTCGTCAGGAAACACAAGACAAAGTGGTCTGTCAGTGCATCTCCCTGCCCTCTCAAGACACAGAGCCCCAGCAGAACACACATGACATACATAAAGATATCCTCATGGGAACATGTATTCAAAGATTTCACTTTTTCACAACACTACGAAGCCAAACAGTCTAAAGAGACTTCTAATTCCTCTTGGCACATAAAGTAAAAGGTTTGCAGCCAAGGGTAGCTGTTTCACCCACAGCTGCTACTTGTGTCCTGCCAGAGGAGTTTGTGGTGCAGCTAGGGATTGTAATAGGTTACTGTTACATGTTTGAATGTTTAAGTGATAAATACTGTCTTCACAAAAGGTTAGCTTTCAACCTTTAAGGCCCAAGATCGTGTGCTCTGAGACAACTGAAGCGGACTCACTGTTACACGTTTTACATGGACATACTGAATATTTCCCAAATTGTACGGAATTGACTGCCACCTCGTCTTAAATGTACATTTCCTGGAAACTCTTCCTCTCCTTCTCCCATGACTTTTGCATTTGGCTATGGATCTGTTTAACATGAAAGCTTGATCTTCAGTCATGGTGAACACATCAGTTAAGACTTGATGGTAACAATAAGGAAGCCGTCAGTAAATACCCACAGAAGCACGAAAGCACTACATGTGCTTCAAACTATTCATTCACATCTTCAAACCACTGCCAAGTTGGATAAACTATAAACCGCGGTAATATTTGTAGCCCATCTTTATATGGATTTCCCATGGAGCATGAATTTCCCACTTCTCCTGAGCAATTCTGATTTTTATAAAACCTACAACAGAGCTCCCAACTCATTGTAGAGAAGTACTGGGGCTCAGCAAGATCCAGCTGATAGTAAGAGTTGTGCAGCTAACAGTCTGCTAAACAAGTTTATCTGATCAGGCAACAAAACCAGTCAGGCTGAGGATTCATGATGCTGGAAGGAAGTCAGTTTTTTTTATTTTCTTTTATATAACCGTTCGGGGCCTAACAGATTCAGCAGAGCTGGGAAGCCCAACAGTGTGTGTACTATGCTTTGGGTTTGAAGGAAATTATGGTCAGATGCTTTTAATTTTCCTTGTCTAACAGTCAAAAACTGATTTTTTAGTTCTACCCAGGGCCCCTGTCTCTGAGACCTGTCGCCACCGGAGAGCCGGGCGGTTTCACAGCAGCTCACTTGCTCTCGGAGTCCTCCGCGAGGGACTTCTGGGAGTCCACTCTCCGCAAGACCTCCTTGACGTTCCCCTCCAGCCACACCATGACGCCCCCATCCTTCCACAGCAGGTGGCACCGGCCCACGAACAGCGACACCAGCTCATTCAGCGCGGGGGGCTGCCTGTGGAGGAGGGACAGAGTGCATGACCAAGGCCCCAACGCTCACATCAGGACCCGCCGCAGAAACTCCAGTTTGCAAACCTCCCTTCGTCCAGAATGCTGCTTATGACTCTCAACAGCGTTCCAACGGTTTTATTATGGATACATGTCAGGATCCTGCACTAAGCTAGGATGCAGTTGCCAGTCAGTGCCAGAGTACAGCACATGGGCCGATGCACAAAAACCTGGGGGAGAAAACAGAATCATTGTGGCAAAAACCACGGATTTGCTCAGGCTCTTAATCCAGGTCCTGACCAAGGCGTTTCTCGAAAAGAGAAGGGATCCTGTCCAAATTTCCCCCTTGGCTTTTACCAATCATGGTCTCCTTATAACCCCCATCTCTGAACTGGCTTCATCACTCTGCTCTCCTCCCACTGAGAGCTGGTGGGGGGGGGTGTACTGGCTCACTATGGCTGCCGTCGCACCATCCAGGTGGGAGCTACTCATCGGTAGTGGAGGGGAGTCCTCATTACCTGTAAAGAGCTTTGAGTGGAGTGCCCCAAAACGTTATTATTGTAATACACTGATAGGGTTTGTAATTGGTTTCAACCCCATACTAATCTGTGAGCTGCCCTCATGCAGGCATGTTGCCTAGAATGCAACCAATGGATTAAAGCAGAATGAAAAAAGAAACACTGATCATGGACACGTCTGATCCAGTGTCATTCCCACCTTGCTACTCCTGATTAAGTTGGGAAGTTTTCAACCAGATATAATGAGGTTCTGCACATTATTAGACAGTTTACCTTGAAACAAGAGTTCAGAAAAAAGTCTAATCAAGCAGAAAAACATCCAGCAGACATTGTGGTCCACAAGGACAGGCCTGAGAAATGCTATCTAAGGCAATTTAGGGACTAAAAAATTCCAAGCAAGTTGGTTTGGCTTCGGATCGTACCTGTACCTAGTTACAACGTTCTTCTATCTAGCAGAGCTCTTGGTGAGCTTGACTATGATGATGCAGAGCTCGGTGGGGTTGGAATGCGAGAGAGACAACTGTGAACTTGTCTGAAGCAGCACGTTATAACACACTGCAATAAAAGATGATACTAAAACCAAGGAAAGCAAGAAAGCTTTCATGGAAGCTTATTCAAATATTCCTAACATCCTTTAGCAGTGTCATAAAATCACTGCTAAACGATGTGTATCTAATTCAAATATAATTCCTGCAGTTTAAGATGTTTATCTTTCGTAGCTTGGGTGTTAAATGAGTTAGGACTTTGTCTAAAGAAATGGACACTGAATTTCCATGTAGACTATTTTAATCTCAATTACACCCATAATGATTTGTAAAGAAAATAAATCAAAATACTTAACACAGCACTGCAACACTTATGTACTACGTATCCATAAAGCCATTAGTACTATGATGATAATGACAAAAACCGTAGTTGGTATATTGACGTTTTGGTTACCCTATTTGGCATTTCGGTCCAAAAAACTCATGTGAGGACACCGCAGCGTCGGGCTGTACCGTGCACAGGTCCAGCAGGGGCATCAGAACTATGGGCAAACAGAACCAGCAGTGAGTCACGGGAACAAGCAGCAGGCGCTTCTACAGCAGGACCTTCGCACGCACACGCAATCAAACACGCGAGCGCTCGTGGAAACCCATCACGAAACGCGCAACACTTTACACTCCCTTACTGGCAGCGTCCCACTTCGTGTCTGCCAGGACCCTAAAGAAAATGAAAGCCGGCTTTGTCCCAGGCAGAACCTCCACAGACAGGTGCACGCAGGCACTCCGAGATTCAGGCTCACTCAGTCACTATGGATAAGGAATTGGAGGAGAGACACAGACCCTCTCCCCCCACCACACTTATTAAGGCTCGGACAGGACGTCGTGGTGAAGGCCTGCAGTCCAGTCAACGCAGATGCGCTGCAGGCAGCCGGAGGCACTGGATCAGTGTTTGCGGAAGCTCTTTGCACGAGAGAAGGACAAAGCCCTGCCTCAACTCCAGACCTGGGATGCTGTCCGTGTGGAGTTTGTATGTTCTCCCTGAGTACCACATGGGTTTCCCTCCAGGTGCTCCGATTTCTTCCCCTAGTCCACTGGTGGGTTAACTGGTTTCTGATAAAACTGGCTCTACCTGTGAGCTGTGTGATTCTGTACCCTCCCTTGCGCCCGTAGCTCGCTGGTATAGACTCTGGCTCCTCCACAACCCTGAACTGGAAGAAGGGGTTAGATTGTGCACTGATGTTTTCTTCTCTGTTCTTCAGTACACAGCATGAGCACTATATTTAATTAACTAAATGACAGCAAAATGGAGATAAAATAATTTAATTAATAAAAGCTGCATAAACTGCACTATAGTGATGGAATATGCTGTTTTTGTTGTGTGTTGTGTTGTCCATGCTATAATGCAGACAGCAAAGACAGAAATGGCGAAGGAGCTGAGGAGCTCGAGTTATTGGCACAACAGACAGTAACATAGGTTACACAAGCAGAAGGCACATGTTTCAAAAGCAGAAGTGATTCAACTTAAGTCCCTCTCCAAATAGGCTTTTAAAGCTGTTTGCCATTTTTAACCTTCAGTTTACATATTCATTTTATATACATGCAACACCTATCTACCATGAAAATCATCTGTCAAGTGATTTCCCAGTCCCGAATTCGCCTTTTGAATTTCTTTTGCACCAGTCTCCTACGCTAAATAACATCTCGCTTTCCTTAAATAGAACTGACAGAATACCATCACTGGGCCTTGGAGATCTACCCTTCCTGCGACACACACTGTCTCCTCCTGGAATACTGCAGTATTCCATACAGATCTTTGTACATATATTTGCAAAACCTGGTTGGCCTTTTCAAAATCATTTCTCATCTCTATTTGGAATTCATTACATCCTTTTTCTCTCGTGGGATCCTGTGTGGTTTTTTACGGAGATTAAAGATTATTTTATGCATTCCAAGACAGCAAACAACCGCATGGCCTCAGAGAATCCGCACTCCTCCTGCGCCCTCCCGGAAAGACTCACAGAGAAGCGTCACTCCTCGTCACGCAACTCACCGCTCGGGAACATGATCAGAGCGCTCTGGAGCAGCTCGTCTGACTTCCGTTTCATCCGGGTGCTTTCTTCTGGGCTCACGTCATCCTGAAGGCTGAGGAAGTAGTAGGAGAGTGCAAGCGAGCAGGCAAAATTCGGGAGCTGGGACAAGTTCCTATGAACCTGGAAGAGCAAAAACAGGGGTGCACCACACAAACAACTTATAAAACTTAAAGAATATGACTACTTCTGTCATATCCTCTAGTGTAACTGAGAAAATGCAGTTTGGAGGACAGGGAAGAAAAATAGTTCAACCCTTCAGAAGACTGAAAGCCCTGTACCAATGACTCGTGACAACGCCTTTATGCTGCCTCTCATTTTTAAGAATGCTGATGTCTCAGGACTGTTTTCACCATCCTTAAATATGCCAATTTCAAGGTGTGCAATTCGAAATGACATATAAGACCTAAACATAACTGTGACTTGCACGAGAGGTATTCAGGGCTCACAAACCTACTATACAGCAGCATATCTGCTGTTTAAAAGTACAACAGTACAGGGAGCAAAGGTATACAGTACCTATTGTTTAGATTCTTGTTGGAAGTTGTGCATATCAACTGATAGAAAAATGACCATAATGCACAGCAATAACAGTTTAAATTATGGGGTTATGGGGGGTTGCTTGATCACAAATTGATAAGAATGTTCTGTCAATTAACAGCCAGGGCAGGACAGAAAAGCAAATATTTACTACATAGTAGTTAATAAAAATTTCAGGCAGCATTTAAGGTGCAGGATGAACTACATCATAAAAATACAGGTTGTCGTAAAAGGGGAATGAAGATGGAGTTGAGCACGTGAGTATCTCTAAGACTCCATACTTTCATGTGTTGATATGCACATATCTACATATATACACTGTACGATATAGGTGTATTCAAATAAATTACTACCTGCTTAGTTCTTTAATGCCTTTCTGTAATACCAGAGACAACAGAAAGAGCTTAGAAATGAACACTGATTTATAATGGGTGGTTAAACCTATAGTGATAGTTCAATTAATGATGTGCATTCAGATTGGCACACAAAAGCAAAGATGGCCAGCTTTATTCTCCCTCCTTACCTCCCACTCATCATACAGCCTGATGAGGAAGGAATACTCTCGCGCCCGCAGCGACAGGAAATCGATCAGAAGCAGCATGCACAGCGGGTCGTTATCAGGATCAAGACTTTGAAGGAAAAAACGTTGAAAAGTTCTCAGTTGCATAGGACACCAATAAAGCTGCTGATTAACATGTCTGAGCTGAATGATGACATTTCAGCTCTTGCTGATCGTTGCTGACATCAGAATTCATGCACTGTAGTTCAATTAGGATCTCTAATTGCACATTACGGACTAAGCATCAGAAGAAACTTACCACTTTACTTAAACAGAAGTGTTTTAAAAGAATAAAGTATATAGACAATGGATACTGATAAAATGCTTTTAGCATCACTTTGATTAATTGGTCTCTCCAGTGATTGTGACTGGTGCATAAGCACTTAATGGTTTCATTAGTGAGGATTTTGACTAAGCATGATTAGGTGATTTAACCTGTTGAATGTCAGCCCTAGTGGAAATCAAGAAAGAAAAACACAGAAAGGTAGCAATATGCCCTTGTGACACATTCACAGCCTGCAGTTTCTCACACAGCAAAACATTACAGCCAAACCGTCCAGCAACGACAGGCCACAATCTCACAAACGTATGACACCTTGACAGCATCTTCATCATGCTAAACCTTTATGATTGGTTTCGTACTGCCAGCTGCACAGCATTCGAAACACCAGGTCCCAACAGCTAAGCAGTTCAAGTGTACAGTTTGTTCAATAAAATGTCAGTGCATCTACTACAATAGATAGATTTTTTGATAACGCTATGTACGTGTTGCTCTTACAAATGACAAATTACTTTTGATGCTCTTCAATTAAATAATCTTCAATTGGAATCACAAACCTGATCATCTACTCTAATGAAGCATCTACATTATACAAGGGGAATATTCAAAACTTCAAAACGCAAATATCATTATAAAATGTCACTGTGCAACAGTGCTGCAGTCCAGTTCACTGCTAACAGTGCAGAGTCACTCCACACAGATTCCCTACTGTTTCTGAAAACAACAATGAAGGCCCTGAAGTCAAAGCCCTTACAGTCAGGGAAACGGTATTTTGAGATGCCCGACAGTTTTTCTCCAGTTCTTTACAACAGGAAATTACAATTTTTTTAAAAACAGAAAACGAGAAACATGGCGCTCCAGTCACAGCTCACCTGAGTATGAGTTTACAGAACTCCAGCGCAGTGCGAGGACACCCTCTCTTCTCCAGGAACATCATGTGCTTGTACAGGGCCAAGTAGAACGCCCTGGGAGGCAACGAGAGCAAGACTTCAACCCCACGTCAAACAGGGATTCAAGCCCCCTTCAAGGATCCGTCACTGACCAAGATGATAAAACTCTAATGACAAAAGCTGTCTGACGGAAAGAAACTCCAACAATCACACAGGAAAATAAGGGAGGAAATGCTGCTTGCTGCATTTAAAAAAATAAACTAGAATGTTTTCCTAACATGTGGCTGCAGCAGTTCCAGACTTCAGCATGCAGAATCTTACACCAGTCCCATAATGACTTCATCAACTCCCACTGCAGAAGTGACATTTAAAAGAATGAAGCTCTCCCCAAATACCGCTACAGGATTCTTACTGACAGCAGCGATTAACGACCGGAGGCAGACTCAAGACTCCACTGCACACCTGTTCTCTGGCCGCAGATAATCAAGCCTGCATGTTCCCGAGGTCAGGCTGAAGATGGGGTGGAATGCACATTCGAAGCTGTACAAAGCTCTTTCTGGAAGAAGAAAAAAATATTGCTTAGCAATATGATATAATGATATAAATCACTGCTTTATTTTAATTATACTTTTAATCTAGAATAGACTACATGAAAGTATTTTGAAAAAATAATTAACTCAACTTGGAAATAAGGCCTTTCGTTTGCATAATAATGATGTCATGGAATTTACAGTGCTTTTGGAGTTCAGTGTAACGTCTGCACTTCTGAGTATTACTAAGGTACAATATACTGAAAATGTACATTGAAAAGCCACCCTCTTCCTCTGACCTAAGAGGTCGCAAAACTCGCAAAACGAATACGTTCTTTTCAACACCCAGTCTTTGGCATTACAACATCTCTACCATCAGTCTAAATGGAGACTGATGATGCGAGACTTTAATCTGACTACTTTCTTAATGCAGAATAGCCTGGAACAAGTCTGGCTTCTTCCCCATGTGGAAATTTCTGTAGTGCTATCCTGGTATTCTGACATGATTAATAACAGGATATGAAATAAGTACAACACCGCCTGGTGAACAGGAAAAACATTATTCTTTTATGAAGTACAGTTAACTAAGTGTTCAATAGCATCTGACTTCCCAGTATTTTATGAGGTTTCTGTGTTTCCAGTCGTTATGTGCTGTCATTTTTACTAACCTAATATACTATACAAATATTTCCTGGGGAAAATATTATTTCTGAAAAGTGCCTTTCATGATACATTTAAGAAAACATTGGGGGGCAAGTACACCAGTAGTGCACAGGTTTCAGTGTGCAAAAAGGACTTCGGAGAACACTAATTCATGTGCAATTTTTATATTCCCACATAACCCTTAACCCTCAGGAGTTGCTGGTCACGATGAGTTAAAAGCTGTTGAATAGATGATCTTTGCTCAGTAGTGCTCTCCAGCAGACTCTATGTACAATGAACATCAGTTCCCATTTCCAAGTCCCGAGAGACAAAAGCAGCTCTTCCCCAGTTAAGGGAATTATACTATATAGCTCTTTTACACGATGTGTACTTCTAATAATGGAATATTCTTTTTTTCATCCTTCTTTGCCAGTGCTAAGTGAAATCTAAGGGCCAGGACCATACTGGTCAAGAGCCTGTAAGGGACGTTCAATCTCTCAGAAACTTCATGCTGTGCTGTGGAGAATCTCCACATTACTGTGGCCTCATACAGAACACAGCATACAGATCTCTTCAAAGCAGCATGTCACCAGTGCAGGTATATTATTAAAGACATGTTTAACAGGCAACTTTATTAATTTTTCAGGAACAGATCAACTCGCTTGTAGCACCACGGCAAGGGAAAACCTGATTTTCCAGGTGCAGTATCTTTATTCCATCCATTTTTAACTTTATTGCACTTTTACATTTCACATTTAATCGACATTAAGCTCTTCTAGTTAGTATTGAAGAATTATCACAGTTCTGGACCTGCTCAGCTTGCACAGTGCCCAGGCACTGTACTGCTAGCTAACACATAGCACAACACCACACCATTCTCTCCTCACCTATCAGGTCCCTGGCCATCTCCTGATCCTCCTGAATCCTGCAGACATCCGAAAGCTGCAGCAAGGAGTCGATGTGATAGGGGTTCATCTGCAGCAGGAGCTGCAAGACAACACGCACATTCAGAAGGAAACCGGGCACTGCGGAAACATATTACTAGAGATCTAAGAGTTGCCTTTTGAGAAAACAGCACAAATTGCTGACAACTACTGTGCAATAAAGGAAAACAGAAAGAGAAAATGTTTATTTTGAAGACTTCTTTCTATATTCATGCCTTTTGTTTTACTATTTAGCAAACGCCATACTGAGGAAATCACCACAGGACCTGTTCAACAGCACCTACCACAATGTTGTTTGGATCCATCGACTCAACTGCGTCCAGGAATTTGAACTGAACTTGCTGATAGTCCCTGCTGTGTTCAAACGTGTAATACTGGACTCCATCTCTTGTCTCCAGTAGACTCATGGAAATACCTAATAACAAATGTACAGTAGGAGATGCAAGAAGTCACAGTGCACTTCCGCAAAGGTTATAAATGAGTTTTGTTACGAAAAAGACACCCAAGTAAACACATATAGTGCATTTTCCTGTAATGCACAGGATTAAATCATTTTCAGGAAGTCTGAAATGACTGAAATGTACTTAGACATTTTATGGCCCGCACACAGTCTCGATCACCATCCAGGGACTAGTGTTAGAATGAAAGGATGTACAGAAGTGACAACTGCATATGCATTAGAACCTAGCAGCAGTATGAACATCTGCAATCTGATCTCATTCAACAATTTATACAAAACAGTGACACATCCTTTCATTTGTGGTCTGGGTTAAGACTTTAGAAACTAAATTTGCAGGTGCAACAGAGGCCTGATACCCCTAGTGGTTCATCAAGTGAAATGTTTTGTACAGAGTGAAGTCTGAGCATGCAATCTGGAGATCAGAGGGTCAGACTGCACACGCAACGCAACAGCAGTTGTGCCAGGTCTGAATGAGCTACTAACACAGACCCCATATATGTATTAAAAGCAAGTAAAATAAATAATTTAATAAAAGTTAAAACATGACATCCTTGTATAAATATATAACCCTAAATGGGTCCACCAGACCTTATGATGTTTATATTAGAAAGTTATTTTTATTTGTAATCTTTGTCAAATCTCCCCCCAAACTAAGTTACATACAATTGTTTCCCTTCACGGAAGCAAGGCCTCAATGTCTGATGAATACCATAGCATGCTTGGACTCTTCATGTTTGGGGTTTGGTTACTGAGCCTTTAACACTGCATGGCAGCCTACATAACACTTAAGATAATGTTTACATTGTGATGATGTTCAAGGATTCAAAGTGTTTTATCTTGTGACCCAGTTCAGGAGGAAAATAACTCCTCAATGGGGTCTCTCATGAGGCAGCCCTAAAGATATTTCTTTATGTGAGAAAATGGCATTTCTGAATTCTATAAGGCTTTGCCCATGCTGGTAATATTGCTTCATAGAATTAGACCATTGTCGGTTACAAAGACGGGCTGAGGGAAACGGTCTGCAGTGCCTTGAATGGCTGCCTTTGTAATGACAGAGGGGATTCTCAAGGTACTGCTTCACACCGATTAGTTACGAAATGGGGAAAAAAAACAGCCAGGGACACACACAACACTAAAAGGAAATAGTTTTCCACGGCCTGTAATTCAGGAGACTATTAATTTTTAAAACGATCATGGTTAGGCAATAACTTTTATCTGCCTGTTGAGCTCAGTTTCTTGTGTTTTAGTCAGTTTTGTTCAATTAACACTTCTTGCAAGACTTCTTGCTATTAGCATTTAATGGCAATTAATGTCATATGCACGACATAGAACAGGAAACACTCCTAAAGCCAGAAGCCCCGTCTCCGGAAGCAGACAGCCTGTCTCCAGCGGGACTCACCGGGCCTTGTGAAGCGTGGCCAGGTGTTTTTGAAGACAGTCATCCAGGTGCTGCGAAGGGCATGCCGCTGCCTTTGTCTCGGCCTGTCCAAGGAATTGACACTCAGCAACACTAGACGCCACACAACAAGAGCAGATGCTTGGATACGAAGAGCTCTTTCGTGTATCAGATTCTGCTAAGTCTGTGCAAGAATGGAAAGCCCAGATCACTTCAGCTGTCCTCCAAAATACCTCCAAAATGTCCTCCAAAATGAGGAAGACATGGACTTTTAGGTAATTGCTGGTAACTTAAAGAACCACTTCCTTCATTTTATTAAGCAGTCATGGCCATTATCTAAACCTTGATGATTATAACCAGCCACTTACATACAAGGGAGACAGAGTGACTGGGCAGGAAAGAAACTGTACTTTCCATCTGAGGTTGATGAATCAGAAACTAGCACTCAGCTCCCTGAGGCCAAGTCAGCAAACTGAGGAGCTGGCCTCTGGCAAAGGACACAGGGGCTCAGTGAAATCAGCTGTGGCCAGGGGGCTGCACATAAATGGAAAACATCCATCCATTTTGTAATCACTTCTTCCAATTCAGAGTCTCAAGGGAGCCATATCCTGTCCCAGCAAGTGACTGGAACAAGGCAAGGTACAGCCTGGATGAGACACCAGGGCTCCCAGAAGCCAGTTAACCCACCCGTGTACGTTTTTAAAATGTGGGAGAAAGCAGAAGCACCCAGAGGAAACCCAAGCGCACACGGGGAGAATGTGCAATCTCCATGAATAGAGCACGCCAGGGCTCCAGCGCTGTGAGACCGCAATGCTGCCCACCGCGCCACCATGCGCCTGGAGACATGTGTGAGCCGGTTAATTAAAGGGGAACATTAAAGTCATCAGTTACCCGCAACGATAAAAAACAGTCCTACCTTTGGTCCCCTAAAACGGCCCGTGCCCCAAAATATCTCTTCAGCTCCGTCTCTGGATTCAGATTTCTAGTCGTGAGGTGGACAGCAGAAGAAAAGGCACGAGTCAGGACTGGCAGCTCTCCAGGGAGTCGTGTAAAACAGGTTCCAAAGCAAACGGGTCGCAGCAGCAACACAAACATGGCAGAGCACGTTCGAGGACGAGGGGGACCGTCGGCCTTCCACCCTCAGAGACAGCCCCCGCCCCCCCGCCCCCCCGCGGCGCCCAGGCTGCGCTCCCGGCGGAGCTCACCGGTGCTCCACGTGCAGCACGGGCCTGCTGGCAGCGCCGCTGGAGCTCTCGCTCTGGTAGCAGAGCCCGTTGCTGGTTTCCATGGTCTCCAGGAGCGCGTCGATGTCGCCGGCCGCCCCCTCCGCCTGCTGCTCGAGACACAGGGCTGGGCTCAGGACTCGGTGGCCGCCTCAGCCCACGAGGAGCTAACGTTTTGTCCATCATAAGCGAGAGACCAAAAAGGCAGCCAAGCAAACACGCCCTCTAAGGACGATCCGATGGGACGCACAATTCGACTTATCCCCACCAAGGCCCTGACTAACGCAAAACTGCGACCCCAGGACCTGCTGGAGGCCTGTGGTTTGAGAGAGACTCCGCAGCGATGCGGTCATCAGGTTTTGGGGTAGGAATGTAGGATTGGTCCAGGGCTCAAGAGTTTTGATTTTATCCACACCCGGGCACTGGTCCTACAACAAGCTTGTCGACTTCGATGTTTAACTTACAAACTCAACTCACGGAGGATATCAATGTATTTTTTAATGTAATGTAGCTTTAACTGTCCTGATTTGCAAGCGCATCTGATTACCCATTTTTAATCAAAACGGAGAGACAGAGAGAGGGCTAACATTTTGGAAGGTGTGGAGGAGGCTGAAATTCTGACCTGACTATTCTCTGGCATGCTCTTCTTCTTTTTCTTCTTCCTCTTCCTTGCTTTCTCACTGCCATTGCACTGACCAAAACAAAGGCATCAACTTCATTTTTCAAAGGAAAAAAAAGGCGAAATCCAAGACAAAAATCCTTTAACCAATCCTTACACAGATTGACTCAGCCAAGGAGCTGATATTCTTAACTACTTTCATGGAAGATGAACATGGAACGTTTTTTTTTTCCATTTACAACAAAACGCTCTGAGGACACATTAGAAGATAACCCATAGCTAAAATATTTACAAGGTTCTTTTAAAAACATTACATTATAACTGCTATGTGCAACAGATATTGTGGTGTCTTTAAATTGATCAAAATTATTTCAGTTATCACCACACCTAAAAGCACGTACAATACACCTCTCATTTCTGAATCTTTAAAAAGCATTAACGTGTATTAAGTCTTGTACAAGCTCGATTAAATGAAGCATTTATACTCTCGGCTCGGACTAACCACTAAACGAGGATTAACGAAACAAGGTTCAAGTTCGGCTTCATTTACGAAAAGCACCAACCCAGGTGTCCACACAGCTCGGCGACACCGGTCTCTCCTCCGAGTCGAGGGCAGCGCCCAGCCCGACTGCTCACCTTGTCGGCCTCGACAGACTCGCCTCCCGTCTCGGTTTCTCCGCGGTCACTCTTCTCCCCGGCCTCCTCCTGCAGCCTGGAGCCCAGTTCCCCCCCGGGGCCGCTGTCCGCCTCATGTATCTACAGACAGGAGCACAGACAGCGCATCTGCAGCGGCACGACCCCGCAAACCAGGCCGAGAAACCCGCTGCTGTCAGGAAACCCCCTGGGCAAATAGAACCGTGCTGAGAGGGCACTTAGTCCACCTCCGTTTGTACTTTTCCCACATTGTTATTTTTATTGTCACGTTACGACAGACAGATGACGTGTGCCAGATACCGGGGTAAAATGGGAGAGACAAACGGGGAATATCCCTCAACAAGGGATCAGAAGGGAACCAACTGGGACAAAAACGTTCTTCTGCACATTCGATTTATGAAACAGTTCTCCTAAGCCTTAGTTTTATTCAAGTGTGGACATCTCTAGGTTAAAGAGCCTGGTGTGAGCCTTCCACAAGAACGCCTTTACGCTAGTGAATGTTAGTTTTGCTTCTTGGGTGTTATTTGCGCTCGGATATTTATGTTGAGGGATGTGGGTAACAGCTGTCCCGTGTAAACAAACTCATAGCACTGATGCGGCCGTACGGACTGGTGTTAGAGCCCAGTTTAATTTTGTTTCGTGCTGTGAGCAGCCTCACCAGCTCAAAGAGGTTGCTGATGTTTTTTTGCGTCTTGTTTTTCTTTGCTTTCCGGTTGCTGCTCGTTTTGGCCGGTACCAAAACACACGGGTCAGGGGCTTCATCGTCATCGTCATCGCCCTCCTCCTCCTTCTCCTTCTCCTTCTCCGCGCCCCCACCGTGCAGCAGGAGGTCTTCGAGGTGCAGGGGCTCCTGGCCCCGCTGTTTCCCCTTCAGCCTCCGCAGAGCCCGACTCGACATTGCCCCGGGATGTCACGACTCCGCTGCTCCCAGTTTGCACAACCTGCAGACAGACCCTCGCTGCGGTCTCACCGGAAGCCGGCGAGTGGTTCCCTGGAAGTGACGTCATAGAAATACGAAGGGCGCTTGGAGACAAACTGTTGTTTTTGCAGCGTTTCGCTGTAATGCAGCTGATGTGGAATATCTTTCGTTTTATTTGGTTTCTTCGCGCAGTTAGAAGAAACGCAGTAAGAGTCGACACCAACATTTACATTCACGAGACCTTATCTAATGGGATACAATTAATGATGATGAAGAACACAAAAACATTAATAATATTATTAAGCACGAATAATAATAATAATAAGGATGACGATGATGATAATGATGATAAATCTCTCAATCACTTATGTTGTGTGAAAAAATAATGAATGCATTTACTTGTCACGCTTAGTCGCAGCTATATCTCCTACTTGCAGCCCACTGATGCTCAGTAGGTGTGAGCCTGTTCAGTACCTGGATGAGAGACATCCTGGGACACCTGGGAAAGCTAAGGTTGCTGCTGAAAGAGGTGTTAATGGGTCCAGCAGGGGGCGCTCACCCTGCAGTCTGTGTTGGTCCTAACGCACCAGTATAGTGACGTTGAGACTATACTGTAAAAAGGCGCTGTCCTTCGGATTAGATGTAAAGCCGAAGTCCTGACTGTCTGTGGTCATTAAAAGTCCCACTGAGTTTCTCAATAAAGAGTAGGGGTGGTGTTACCCTGGCATCCTGGCCAAATCTCCCCCTGACCTTTACCAATGATGGCCTCAACTGGCTTCATCACTCTGCTCTCCTCCCCACAGAGAGCTGGTGTGTGGTGAGCGTACTGGTGCATCATCCAGGTGAGGTGGGGCTGCACACTGGTGGTGGTGGAGGAGAGTCCCCGTTACCTGTAAAGCACTTCGAGTGGAGTGTCCAGAAAAGCGCTATATAAAGGTAATGAGTTCTTACAGGTCAAGTGCTGGATGACGGGTTCACCACCAGAGGGAGCTACTTCCACAGCCGCTGACGAGGATACTTTGGCGTGTTCAAGTTTATCACCGTCAGGGACTCGTAATTCTACTGAAGATGGTTATACATTTCTTTCTTTGACCATGACTCAAAGATTGACACCAAGATTGGTGTATTTCACTTTTACTATCTACAATCGTCAACACATAGAAGACGTATAGAAATCATTTTTATTACTGTTACATAAAAATAGCGTAGTTGATCACGACATTTTTGTCAACAAACCCCTTCACATGTTCTGTCACAGACTGTTTGCATACCTTGGCCATGGATTGCTTAAGAAATTCGTGCACGACTGGAATGTGTGTTTTGTTTCTAATGACAGAAATGTAGTAGAACTAGTTAACAAAAAAAAATAGACATTTCTTCTGCCTCACATTTCCTGCAAGGGAAAAGCGTCCCTTATACACCCTGCCCGAGGTCTGAATACACTTTCCCAGCCCTGTGCAGAACAAGACTGCACGGTTCACACAGACACACACATCTTTTCTGGAAGCCAAATGAACTGTTGTTCGTAACGATTAAATCCAACCATCCCACTGAGCCATAGGTTCCAGGGATGCACGGAACGTCTTCCCAACAGGGATCCTCCTGTCCCAAGTGGGGTTTTTACGGTGTGCTTGGTTTTGTTACAGCAGCAACAAAAGCACCTTTGTTTGCGCCCTGAAGCAAGTCGGTGTTTTCAAATGCGCTCGAGTGCCAAGCATTCCTGTACAATCTCGAAGCCCGGACTGGAACTTACCCCGGTCCAGAGCGAACAGGAGATTCCGCCCCAGCAATAGAAACTGAGCTGCACAAAAACTGTCATCATCACGAAAATAAAACAGGATCGTGCCGAATATATAGCAAAATATAATGGAAAAGCTGTGATATCGTGTGAAGAACGACTGACAGACGTGTAAACGGAGTTGAAAAAAGGTTTCCAAAGAAGTCTGACTTGAAGTACTTTAAATGTCCCAAAATCTACTAATTTTCCGAGTCATGGTACGCATGTCTATGCAGTCATTGCACAGTACGCATCTATAACAGCTAACTACTCAATGCGCGTCTGTACTGTTTTTCATGGTCTGCCATGATTATTTTCAGTACTACATATTTATTTTTCTGTTGTTATTATTGATGTTAATTTGTATCTGAAAATGCTTTTTACATCGCTATTCAGGTAATTAGGTGAGAAAAAAAAGTTACTGCAAAGTTAAGTCAGTGATACCTATTTTAAGGTAACACCGGCAGTTTATAGTTAAGATGAAATGTCAATTTAATTCACATTCGGAATACCTTTGCCTGCTATTACATAACAAGTTTGCGTTTTCGATCAGGACAATTAAGCCACCATTCATTGATTCATTATACACATGGAGTACAAATACATTTTCCGTGACAGTATAAAGAGGGAGCTAAATGTTTAGCTGGTTTTGTAGAATAACAGTTGATATTCAGTCCGACAAGCTGCATGGCTGTTCTTATGGCGCGTGTTAAAACTACGGCAAAATCACAGCACAATCCTCCAAAGCTCGTGAAAAGACGTCCAGGCGGAGACCTGTTAACTATACCTGCGCCCACCGTCACTACAAAATGCTCCCCACGGGTTTATTTTATAAGCTGTTTTGAAAGCCGTTCCCCACGGCATCCAGCAGCCTTCATTGTTAGCCGGTGTATATATACATCAGGAGCCACGCTCCCCGGCCGATACCGACCGCGCCTGAGCGCAGTGAGGCGGACAGCACAGCTTTCGGCCCGGCCCGGCCCGGCCCGGCCCAGCTCCTCCGAGACTGCGGCCGGCTGCTGCGCCCTCCTCGCTTCAAGGACACCAGCACTCCTGTCCGCCCCCCCCCCGTTTTCATATCCGACTACACTTTCCTCTCCGGCGAGCGAGAAGTCGTTTTTGAAAAGCTGGCGCCTTGCTCGGAGGAAGTGCACACGTTAAGGGAATTTCCTCCGTCTTGAAACACGAGGTCGGAGAGCGCAGAAAGTGATGAGACTATTAACGTGCACATAAAATCGAGAATTATAAGAGGAACTGCGTGAAAACAAACAAACAAACAAACAAACAAACAAACAAACAAACAAACAAACAAACGTTTTAACACCTTAAATTATCTTGCCGGCGAAAAACTGTTTCTTTTAGATTTTTTTCTCACAGGTGTTCTTATGCAATCAGGGTTGCTCCGAGACACAGGAGGCCAGTATCTCGTCAATTTGCAACTTAGTGATTTAAAAGTTTGAAAAACAGCTCAAGAAAAACAGTTTCATGTTACACGGTTAGAATTAGGAACTTGAGGTCAGGCATTGCAAAAAAAAAAATTGAATTGCAACTAACTTCCTTTTCTTACAACTTTGCTACAGACTACAAATGACACATAGTGTCACAGCGAGCCGCGTAGCTCAGACTGCAAGTGCGTCCCGGGTTCAATCGCAGGTAGGAGCAGGCCATGTAGCTTGCTCTAATTCCTTCCACACGGCTCCCAGGTCCCCTCAGCCTGCTTTCCAAATGAGTACTGGGGGTTAATCCTTCTGGGGGTAACAGGCCGGCCGGAGCGTGATACTGACCCCATCACCTCCACCTCCAGTGTCGGATGGTTGAGAAACATGGTGGCCCTTGCCCCCCATTCCCCAGGGCCTTGATGCCCTGAAAAGGGACAGATCTACCCAACGAATGACACACGAGAAAATGAAACGAGTAACAACAACAAATATGAGAAAGGTGATGGATAAGAGGCAGTCATTTGCCACAACTCGCTCCAAGAACGCTTCACTTTGTTAAAGAACCGTCTCGCACTCTGCCAGTCAGTGGTCATTGGCTTCGATTGTAAAACCAGAGATATATTAATGAGGGTGGATTTTGAATATTCTCTGGAACTAGAAATTAGAAGGAATTAGAAAAATGAAAAAGAAAATGTACTCCTTTTTTTATGATTATATAAATTTTATTTCCAACTAATACCGAATCAATACAGTATACTGCTTTTATTTATTTGTTTTGTCTTGGATTACACATAATCAGTTGTTGTTTTAAGATATACTGGTAAAAACACATACAGAGCATTTACAAAAAAAGTATTATAAAAGTTTCCTCACATGAAAATCTTTATACAGAAACATCTTTCAAATTGCAATGTCAGAATGCAGGTATTTACTTATACAGTACTCATTTACTGAACAACTAGAAAATTATTAATGCAAGCAAGATAAATTCTGAAAATGAACATCAGAAAAAAGACCTTCATTCACATTCAACTGCAGGTAATTTTAAGACAAAACATGAAAACAACATTCTTAAGATCTTCTTTATTTCATTTGGCTTTTTGGGTAAATCTCAGTGATTCTTATTTTTGCCCTCACAGGCCTAATCTCAGGCTTGATATACTAGTTTCCCAGCTTGGACAGTCCACAGAAGGGATCAGAAGCAACATCACATGAAGCGAAGGGTGTAGTATTTCCCATTGGCCCAACATCTTTCACTTCTTTGGCTGGGACAAACAGTGTAACCATTGTACAGGAAATTAAGATTTTGTAAATGCATGAAAGACCAGGAGTGCTGAACTCCAGAATTTGAGAGGTGATGAGTCTTCTGATTTTCATTCTACCTGACACTTGATGTGGCAGTTTGAATATACATTTTGCTTTGAAAACACAGGCCAAGACACTGCACCAAACGTGTGCTGATTTTTCCTGGTCTTCCACACCCGAGTGTTGACTGGAAGATCACTCCCAATGCACCCGGCAGAGAGACGTTTGGCTTTGAAGCAGGTGTGGTCAAGCAGCTGCAGGTTTTTTTCATTTAAAAAAATGAATATGCTAATCAATCCAGAGACAAAACTTTGTGGAAAACACAATTCATTTTTTCACTTAAAAATAGTTCTGAATTTAAAAAATGGGGTCTGTCTTTGAAAGAGTGAGTAAAAGTATCCAAAGAATTGGTCTGGAGCGAAATATTTGGAACATAGTCCTATAACCATACATCACTGTGGATGGCAGGTGGCACTGGTTTCAGACCAGAGTAAAAGCTGACCAGGGGAAATAAACACTCGCAGTTCATCTCACTAACAAACAGCACTGGGTCTCGCTCTTCTGAACTGGTCAGACAGTAACTGGAAAGCTAGTAAGTATTCCACGCAATGAATGGCAGGTATAAACAGTCAAACAATTGCTAATTCTACTCTGCTCCACAAAAATAAATAAGTGAAAGCTCCAGAACGGGAACACCATCCCCAGACACACGCGCAGGGGGCCCAGTGCTCCCTGCCCACCTCGCACCCAGCCCAGCCCGCGAGTGGTGCCGCGCGCTGTACACAGCGGCTGTGGGCCCGCGGGCCGGGCTGTTAGGACTCGCTGGCGGTGACAGGAATGGGGTTGACATAAGCGGCTCCCTCGGCGTCGTCTGTCCGTTTTCTGCGGACGTCCACGGGGGGGCGGGGAGGGGGGTTTTGGGGGGGCTGCTTGATGCTCTGCCCGATCCGCTCCTTGGTCACCGTCTGAGGCAGGATGGGCTCCCACTGCTCCCCCCGGATGGCGGCCTGGCGAGAGCAGGGGCGAAAGGCACGTCAGGGTGGGGCCTGCCGGCGCCTGGGAGCGGACGGGTGGCGTGGGCGGCCCTGCACGCTGCCCCCCGGCTCTGAACACCTCCACCTGCGCCCTGACAGCCTGCCACACGCGCTGCTCTGGACCGAGTCGATTTTCAGTGTCATTAACACCTCTCCTCATACACACAAGCTGGGCAGGACACATGAAGATCTACTCCACAACGTGCCACGGTTTAAAGACTGGGTAGACAGAGGGATACCACCAACCACATGGTCGCAGGTCCTTCAGGGATGAAGGAATGCCTTTTCTCTGCCTGCGCCACCTGCATGCCATCATTCATTTCAATTTGTGCCTGTTTCAAGGGCTTGGTGTGACAATTGTAGACAGTGGTCTGTCACCCTTGTCCCAGAAAGCCACGGTCCAGCAGATCATAGAGGCAGTTAGAAATCATTTGTCAGTTTCATCAGTCTGGTCTAAGTAATTTGACACTCACCGCCAGGTAGATCAGGCTAGCAATGCCAAGACAGACACAGCCCAGGACAGTGGGCAGAATGAAGCCTCCTGGCACGGACAGACTGTGGGGAAGACAGCATAGCGCAGACAATGTATTAAAATAAGATTATTTTAAAATTCAGAAATATAGTACACGTGCTATGGGACATGTGAGAAAAGCATTCAAGAGACACACCTATAATCCAAATAATTTAATGTTTTAGGCTATAAAAGGAAGTAAGCAAGTGACGTTAATTGCCTAAAATGTATAAAATGTTTAAAATCAATAAATCAGGACTTCCAATCCCTCCTGGTGGGGGTGCTTGTACGTTGACCTCAGCATCCAGATGCTGTCTTCCTGGTCTAGAAACATGAATCACACTCTGCCAGTAATCAGCACTGGGAGGAAAAGGCAGGCTGCTCAGCACAGGAGACGGGCAGGACAAGGAAATAAGGTACAACTGTATTTAACTCTCTTCAGTCCTGCCCTAGTGCTAACAGAAATACACCTATTAAAAATCTTTCAGCCAGACATCTGGGAAGAAGGAAGTGCACAGTGTAAGTCCTGTTCCTCTTAATCGAGGGCGTGGAGGCAGTGCACAGGGCAATGAACCAAAACAACCAAGTACAATAAGCCCTTCCTGGAACCCCACGGTGGGAATTCACCACAGGCAGTGTGTGGAGCAAAAATGAGGAATGTTACAATTCAACTGAAATGATGCCTGAATCAGGAATTTGACAAAGAGCAGCATTCAGGTTCAGACTTCATAACCTCCAGAGTCCTCCTGCTCTTGACTCCTCACCCCTTCCGACTCACCGGACCTTTAACTGAACTTTGCAAATTCTAAAAATGTGCAATTTTAATGTTATCAGTTTCTGATTAAGCTCGGCTTTAAAGAGAACTGGAGGCCCTAATGCAATGGTGGCATAAGTGATCGTGCTGGTTAGCCCAGCTGGAATAAGACATTAGACACAGACAGACTGGGTAATAGACACAACCAGACCCACATGTGTGAAAACCTCACAACATACATTGCGTGCAGCACAGCTCTGACGTAGTAGTTTCTAGTGACCGGCCCAAACGCCTTCACACAGATCGTCAGGCACCTCTGTCCCCTGTAAAGAAAAGAAGCTATGTGTGTGATGTGTTTTTATTTACATGTGGAATGTAAAACAAAAGCACTTGTCTTTAATCTCTACATGCCCACCTAATGAGGAAATCACAGCCTGCTTTGTTAACCCCACACACAAGACGGGAAGAGAGAGGCTCTTGGCTTTGTGTTTTGCTCCTTGTTTTGAACTTTGTGATTTAACTTCTGAATGGATTGAGATTGGATGTGACTCCTCAGGCCCCTGTTGCACAAATGGACACCATGAGGGAGGCTTCCAATAGAAAAGTAAAGCCTTTCTCTCCTGTTGCGGTTGTTTTAAAGAAAGGATCTTGCTGAAAGCGAGGGGTTTGGCTTTCAAGACAAGTGCTTGGCTTTCAGCTGAGAGTCATCTAAACTCTGAAGCGCACTTTGTGCTGACCAACTCTATTTGCCAGAGGAGTGCAGCTTTGGGGTTCCTGTCCAGAAACGAGGTCATCCAGTCCCCCTCCCCCCGCCCCCAGTTCCTGCAGACAGCCCCCGTTCCGAGGGGTGGGCAGCCCTGGACTGGCACTCACGTCCGCTCCATGTTGGTGCCCTTGCTCATCCTCTTGCCCCGGGGGTACTCCAGCAGGCACACGAACACGCCGGCAGCCCTGTGGAGGCAGTCAAGGACTGCAGCCCTGCAAGACACGGCTTCGGCCGCCCCCGTGCCCCTGCGCCCCCCTGCACCCACACGCCCCTGCACCCCACCGCCCCTGCGCCCACATCCCTGCGTCCACACGCCCCTGCGTCCACACGCCCCTGCACCCCACTGCCCCCACATCCCTGTGTCCACACGCCCCTGGGCCCCACTGTCCTCACCCCCACGTCCACATGCCCCCGCACCCCACTGCCCCCACACCCCTGCGTCCACACGCCCCTGCACCCCACCGCCCCTGCACCCACATCCCCGCGTCCACACGCCCCTGAGCCCCCAAACACATCAGAGTGGATTCATTATTCCAGAGGACTGTGGGAGGAACAGAACTTCCTGGTTCTTTTTCTGTGTGAAGAGTACCTGTAATCTGCACTGCAGAACAGAGCACTATCTAGCATTAGGTTGGATTATGGGAAATTCATCATTGTTTCCTCCGGAATTCCATGCCTAGGTGTAATGTTTTACTCTTTAATGTTGTCAGCTGTTTTTCACCTCCGAATTAAAAATCTGTATCTAAGAGCTTACTGGGCTTCCTCATATTCAGATGACCACATGCATAGTTCTGAACAGACAAACAGCTCTTAAGGGTCTTAAGAGAATGAGCCAGGTCCAATTTAATCGAAAGAGCCTGCCAAACTGGTTTAACATCTTCTCTGAACACCACTTCCTGGAGCTTTGTTCCTCAGTGTGCCGGACAGCCCCAGCACTACAGTACGTGACCACGGTGCTGCTTTAAGACTGAGCCGTCTGAAGTAACACAACAGGGTGTGTCAACACAATCGACAGAGGTGCTACAGGACACACTCCCTGGAGCACACCCCCTCGTGTCCGGGGTACAGTCCAGCACACGTCACAGCCCTCTTTCCTGGAGTACCCCAGTTTATTCCAACCAAGCTATCGAGTCATTAAAATGATTAAATCATGAAACTATTTGCTTTTAAAAATCAGCTTCAGCTTCAGCTTCAGCCCTTGAATACAAAAAGAAGGGTACTAATTAGCACCAGCCTGGTGTCAAATGTTAGACTTTGTCATTCTTGTCAGTCAGGCTTGTTTCAAGGTGAATTTAGACAATGGAACTATATATCGCAGAGAATGTAAAGTTTATAATTTGACTGTTTGGCACAGTTTCTTTCCAACCTGTGTGAATACATCAATGACTGACAAGCAATTAGGTTTTTTTCTTATAAATTTCTTATAAATCTGTAGGAAAGCAAAACATGTAAAGCAAATTGCAGCAATAAAATACATCCTACATTTCTTTGATATAACGTACTTAAACGAATTGATCACTAATGCGGGAGATTAAACAGTTTATTCAATAAATATAATTAATCCAGAAGTCAGATGAAAAACCAGTGATGAAAGGTCAGCGATATCCCCACGACGGAGACTGGGACACACTGTGCCAGAGTACAACAAGTGTACCCTTACTCTTCCTGGGCTCTCTCCTTTCCTCACAAATCCCTGAAAACAGCACAGCTTCCAGAGACAGGCTGATACTGTGCCACCGAGCAGCCCTCTTCGGTTCAATTTGCTGTAGCCCAGTCACTGAAGGTTAAGTTGTTTTTATCATTTACATCAAAGCACATTCCGAGCGCGCCGCATGAGCCAAAAGGATACACTCCATAAGCCGCAAACTCCCACCCGCGGAACTGTCCCGCCACCCCCACGATGCCGCCGGCCAGGAGAACTGAAAAGGGGAAGAGAAGAGAAGAAGAGACACTGAACACCAGCAAAGACGGGATTCGAGTAACATCCTGCAGACACTCATCGGCTTTCCCATGAAGGATCGATGGATATTTGCAAAAGTAAAGAATCTTTTTAAAGGGGCAATATACACTCTTGACAGCTTGAAGCTGGAGGCAGGAATCTGGATATTTCAGTGGTATTTTAATGTTTAATTACCAGCTAATATATAATTAGAGAATGAGAAATGCAAAGGAAGGTGCGCATTACATTTGTACCCTTTATCACCATTAGATAAAGATACAGCTTCTTCCTTTCACGATGTTATTATAAGAACACATTTAGCGTTAGATTGAATCGTTTTATTTAAAAGATAGGGAAAGAGTTACCTTAGAATATGAAAAACAATCTACTGTTAAAAAAAACATCTCAAGAGTTTTAAAAAAAGACTAAAACTACACTACTTTCCAAACTTTATAAAAACTGACTTCTTGTATCAGAGAAAAAGGAAAATAAGCACCCATTTAAACATGCGATCAGCACAGACCTAATGCTTTAGTTACAGGTAAGACTGCCCGCTGTGCTCTTTATATGTTAGAAGCTACAACAGTTCACACTTCGAGGTGTCTTCGAAGTAGCAATGGAAATAGGTGGACCACCTTCGAGAAAAAAGTTCAGTGAAGTTTAACTTACTCAGCCCGGACGCCAGAGCTTGCTCATTGGCCCACATAGCCCACTCTATCTGCCCCATTGTAGATACTCAGCTCTCGGACAAACAATATCTTCAGTCAGCGGCGACAGCCGTCCTGATCCCCAGACTGACACATATGATGATAGAGGACTGCAGCAGCCGAATATCTGCAGAAGCAAAAAGAGCTCAGGCTCCGCCTTCGCGTCACTTCCGGCAACATGACATGAGCCGAAAGTTGAGATTTTGTTCCTCTTTTTTTCCATGATTATCATGTCTTTGAGAGGGAAAAAAACACGTTGACGGGTATTTTACGATGTTCTTGAACTTCTCACAGAATACCCGTTCTCATGAATCGGTTATCCACTGTAGGATAAGGAAATGGATCATTTCTGCTTCAGTCTTTTTTTTACACCATATAGCTGGAGAAAAAATGACACGATTTTAAACTTTGACCATAAACCTATCGGGTGTAGCCGAAATTACAGATTTGTGCGTTTTGAGGAAGTTTTCCTCTGTGTGTGGCAAGACGGGATTTCACACAAGTTTTCTAAGCGGGTGTGTTCTTTGTCAATATCGTTGTACTCCGTAGTCTACTTATGCATTAAGTCGAGAATGTCTGTATGATGCATTACACTAGTTCAAGTAGGTATCTGTGTCAGCAGGCGTAGGCTACAAGGGAACAGGTAAAGGTCTATTCACACACCTAAAGAAAGATCCACAGCCGAAACGCTCTCTTTTTTCTTTCACCAAGGAATAAACCTTTACCTGTTCCTATGTATTATACTAGTGGAGAATGTCTATATTATTGGATTAGTCATATTGATATCTCATCTATGCAGTAAGTGTATAATTTTTTCAATATAAACAAACTTTACAGTATAAGACTTACACATGGGCTAACTGTCAGAAATCTTAGCTTTTGGAAGCTTGAGCTGGATATATTTCTAATTGGGACCTTAGACTGTGACTACAGGAAACACAGTGCAGGAAATTAATGACTAAAAGCCCAACTCTTGTACCAATTTCAGCTTCACTGAACCATAAATGGCTCAGAAAAGAATGCCGATAGTTTAGAACAATCTCTCAAAACACATGTTTAAATTAGAAAAGATATTTTATTTCAGAAGAGAAAGGCACAGAAAAGCACAGAACAGTGAAGATATTTAATGATCATTTTTATACGCAAATGTGGATACAAACAATTCCCATTTTGTTCTTGGTATGTTCTGGAACTAATGTTTGTGTTTGTTCTTTCACTGCTTTACTAATGCAGACATGAATGAGTGTACAATAAATTAAGAAGTTGTATCATCAACAAATAAGTACCCATTATCAGAAAGCCACTTATCCTGATGAGTCAAAGCCTTATCCTTGAAACTAGGGTACAAGGCAGTACTAGTACATAAGTGCTCTCCCATTGGATGGGACACTAGTCAATCCAAAGGCTCAACAAATAGATTTACTTTATAAACCAAGAGGTCAACCTAGCAGATCAGTGAATAGTTTAATTCAAATAAGATGAACCCATTTGTATGCTGACAACCGCAATAGCAAAAAGCAGCACTTGAATTAAAGGAAAACATTTACAGTCAGTGCCCCCCTGAATTTTACTTAAAAAACTTCAGAACAAAAAGCTTTTACTATCAATAATACAAAATGAGGTATGCAAACCCCTCATAAAGTGCAGCCAACAATGTGGATGACGCAGTGTAAAAACACTAGGGCTGGAGAACAAACACTTCCTGGTCTGAATTGGCGGTACTTCACTTCCTGTCCCTTCCCAGGGTCTCCTGTGGTTCCCTCGGGCTAGGAGCTGGGCCGTAGGAGATTCTACACCGACACCTCCTGATCAGGCACTTTCTTGGGCAGCCCGTCTGATCCCAGCAGATGGAGACTGGGGTCCTCCACCATGCAAGGACCTGGGCCAACCTGAGGGACAGAGGAGGCCGTCACTCAGCTGACGAGACCCATGGCAACAGAAAGCTGGTGCCAAAAACACAAAGCCTGTCGAGCCATATCTTATGTACTACTGAGGGTGTAAACAGGTTTTCAAAGGGGAAATTCTTCTGGGACAATTATATTGTTAGAATGACTGTGCTTTGACATCAGTGCATTTCCTCAAAGAGAGTCCTGCCTGACTCCGGGCCTCTCACCTTTGTGCTGATGATGTAGCTGATGCCTTTAGGAGTGGGGTCCATCCCGATGCTGGCCTTCAGCTCCTCAGACAGAGATGCTGGTCTCACAGGCAGACCCTTTACAAACCTGCACAGACATGCATGTCACTCTGATCCACAGACACGGTCAAAGCAGAGCAGATTATCTGCTTGACCGGACAGATTTAGAACCGTCTTCAGGTTGTGAGCCTTGGAGTGACTGCAAGCTTCCCAGAATGACTGGAGCTGCTTTCTGTTGGTCCAAGCTGCTCGTCCGTGACGCACTGCTTCACAACCAGCCGCACTCTCGCTAACTAACGGTTCTCTCAGGAACGACCCACAATAAAGAGCATTACAATTAAGAACAAGCCTGGACTTGAAGAGCTGCGGGGATCTGCTATTCTTTGTCTCAGGTTCTAATTATTAGGCTTTAGCAGTCAAAAGGATCAGACACTTAGCTACTAAAGAACATTCCTGCAGATCTCTCTGGATGGGCCGTTTTGTGCGACAGTCAGTCAGATGAACGTTATTCGAGACCTGACGTGTTGCGTTGGAGGCTCTTGGTTGTTGACATCAGGAACTTACTGTTCACCATTTGTCTCCGGGGGGAAGAAGTGCTTGAGCAGCTCGACAAATTGTTCCAAGTGCTGCTGCAGAGTGTAGATCACAGCATTGGGGCCGGCATCAAAGGTGTACGCCACCTGGAGAAACACGGCACCATAGACACAGGCTGCAAAGATTCTCTCCATCCACTGCCATTTCTATGCAGCTCTGATTGTTTTTTTTTTTGTTTTTTTTACAGACACAGACAAGCTGATGAAGAAAGACAATCAGACCCAGATGAGCCCTACATCACTGCGTCAACCCACAGAGCGGGTCAGATTTCCACTGTCCGTCTCGGCAATGAGAAGAAAAGCCATCACCCTTGCTCTATGAATGCAGGTGTCCCTGCCAACAGACAAACCCACAGAGCAGAGCACCGTGACAGTCTTGCTTTTTCTCTTCCTCTTTTATTTCAACACTCAGCCGAGGAAAAAAACCTTCACACTTCCCCCTTTCACCATTTCAGGTTGCTTAATAATCGCTGTGTTTTAACAGCTCTGCAGCAGCAACCACTAAGAGAACATCTTGGCATCTGTTTCAACCACTCTGGTAAATTTCATTTTCACTCATCTGGTTTCACTCATCTGTGGACATGACAGGATATCTCTCAATACACCACACTTTATTGTTTGCGTTTCTGTTTAGGTTCACTAGTGAAATGGTTGTCTTCAGTAAAAGAATTGATGTAACTTTTTTTTACTTGTTGTATTAAATATTTTTGGAGCATTTTGCTTAACTGAGCATTCATTAGTGACTGATATATTGTAGTGAGTTGTGCAGAAGCACCAAATCACTGTGTCACTGAGAGCTTTCATTAGGCACAGTTGATGAGGTGATTTACTGTAACCTGCTCAATGTCAAGCCTGGTAAAAAAAAAATCAAGAAAGAAGAACAGACATAGCCCATCTCCCATAGCAAGACCACATGGCACAACACCTTGCCAAAGCAAACAAGAAGATCCAAGAGCGATGGCTTTACCAAACGTGTCTAGTCAATGTTTGGATGGCGCTGCACTGGTCAGGTACCAAGAGTTCACTTGCTGCCCTCCTTGCAAACTCATCCAGGACAACGCAATGTCCTTATGCGAGAAGGGCTCTCAGATGTGCTGTGGAGGCTCTTCCCAGCAGACCGGAGCCCCACTGACCCACTGGGGGATGAGCTGGGACAACAAGTGGCTTC